TATACCTCCCTGTATGCGTGCCTGTTGAGGACAATAGCGGTAAGCCCAGCGCCGGGCCGCAGTTCGCACTCTTTAGGCTAGCTAAGTACCGAGGAGAAGCAGAAGTGTTTTGTAGGAGGGAGTCTGCCAGTAGCGCTTTGCCTTTTTATATTCGTGCGCACAAGCCTTGGGAGCATCGACGCAGGGCAACTTGCCCCGATGAAGCGGCATCATACAACGCCGTGGGCTGCGTCCAGAAGGGCGAAGAGCCACTGTTTCAAGACAATCTATACTAATATGATTCATAACTGGCTCACATACCTTACAAGCAGTTTGCATATTTACAGAACAACACTAATCGAGTACGAGGGACATCGGCCCTCCGCGTCCCCGATTCACCCAGAATGGCAAGGAGTTTCCGCCGGCGTTTCATGTGGCATTCAGCGGCGACAGGGGGCACCGTGTACACAATAATTCTTGAAATACCTCATTAAGGTGTTTTAACAACGGCAGGGCTGTACATTCAACTAAGAGCATAACGAGGATGACTCCATGCCGGACCGGATAGTCCAGCCGTGGTCCGCTCCCTCGCCGCAACATCCTGCACACACTGCAGAACATATTGTTAGCTCTGGGCTTGATGCCCTTCCAAACTTTCTCCACTCTTCCCGTTTACTCCTTCACATATTCAACATCGACACTGGAAACATGGCTGCCTTTAAACTTTTTTCGCTCGCCTCTGCGTCTGCGTTCTTGATGGCGAACGCTGTGCATCAAACGGCAAAGCAAACTTCATTGAAATCGGACGAAACATCCGCAACCTACACTGTAAAACTCGGTATGCTGGCAAATATGCGTTTGGTTGGGAGGGTTTCAGCCTTGTAGTGGTCCAAAGTAGATGCTTTGGAGGTGATGAGTTGTGCTAGAGGTTCAGTGGGCTTGGAAGCGAAGGAACCCTTCAAAGCGCATTAAATTGCTCCAAACCGCATATCCAAGTATCAGTATTTGTACATTTGGCCCTAGAATATCTGCATCCTTTGCTTTTCTGCAGGGAAAGATCCTGTGTGCCTCGACGATATCAACGCTGCACGCGAAGCTGCTGGACTCGAACACTTCAAAACGGAGAGCAGTGCAGATCTAGGGTTGCCTTCAGCTACCATGGCAGAAGATTCACAGCACAATACTGCATGGGATCCCGTTTGTGAAGCTCTGACAGCAGTAAGTGTCTTTCAATGTGGCCCCCTGTCATTAGTCCCCTATCTCTACTTCAGGCTGTC